AGGGGTGAAATGACTGAGACGTATACAATTATGCAGGGGATGAATAAAGTGGATAGAGGGAAGCTCTTTCCCTCTCACACAATACTAGAACTGGGGGCATCCACTCAAATTGAGTGCTGGGAGAGTGAGAACAGACTAAAGAAAATATTTCTTTACCCAGTGTGTTGTTAGTCTGTGGAACTTCTTGCCTCAGGATGTGATGATGGCATCTGGCCTAGATGCCTTTAAAAGGGGACTGGACAGATTCCTAGAGGATGACCTTTCTGCCACTGTGCGCAGTCATCATGGCAGGGAAGCTTTGCTCTCCTGCCTGGAAAGCGGTGTGACAGTTGAATGACGCCACTTCCAAGGAGAGGAGGAGCCTTTAATAAGCAATGGTCCCTTTGGCTCAGCCTCTTTGCTATTTTTCTTGCAAGGAGGTAAGCTGTGTAGCCAGATGAGGAGAGGTTTCATTTTTCCCGCCATGGCTTATCTCCGATTGCTCGTTTAGTGCTTCACAGCTGTTTTTTCTTTTTCATTTTATTACTTAATTGCAGTCTCTTTTATTTAACTTTGTTGTTAGCTATCTTTACAGCTTTGGATTTGGGTCACACATTGGCATAACCCAACTGGTTTCTCTTTCATTAATTTTCTTATTAAGGGCTTCCTTTCATAATTAATTATTTCCCTTGTTGACTTGCTTAATATTAGTTTGGGGGATGTAAGGTGGTAATCATTACCCTATCCCTACCCCCTTCGGCATTTTCTTTGATTGTTCCCTGGTGTAGTGATTTAGTTGGTGGGGAGGTTGATTAATATTTAAGCAAATTAGGGAATTTGAGCTAAAGTTTTCTGAATTTCTTACTATTATTTGGTTGTTGTTTGGCTTAAAAATGGAACTAGTAATTTTAATCATTAAGAGGAATTGGTATAGTGATAGAAGTTTATACATCTCGGTTGGGTGCTTGGTTTTTCATAATTTGGTTTTCCATTTTCTCCCTATATCCTTTGGGGGGGAAAGTAGATGTTAAGGTAATTATCTGGAGGAATAACATGGTTAATACAGCTGCTTCTATTCTATTTTGATAGATAAAATTATTGTTATGGGGCCTGAGAAGGAACAGGGTACTAAGAAGGGCCAACAGCCTGCAAAGTGTGAGGCTCCAGCTAGGGTTCAGCCTGCAATTTTGTCCTCAGATGAGGATGAGTGGACAGACTACAGTTCAATACTGGCTAAGTAAACTTGAGCAAAAAAGGGCTCTGGCTAGGCAGGCTTCAGATGCTGCTACTCCAAGAAGGTCAAATAGAAAATCAAAAACATGTGGGATGCCTGAGTTAAGGCAGCTGGTGATGTAATGATGTCACAAATTGCTCTTTTAGAGAAGGAGTGCTCAGCAGCTGCAGGGGCGGTGTCTACTGCTGTGGTTCCGGTGTGCCATTAGCCCATTCCTGTAGAGGTGGTTTTGGAGGAACGGCAGGAGCCCTTGAGGGATCCAGATGGTGATACAGGATTGCAGACAGAGGGTCAAATTTCTCAACTGGAAGCAGGTATTTTGGTTGGTGGGTGTAGTGTTCACCCTTGTTATACAATACGTTATGTATTATTCATGAGTTATAGGCTAATGTGGTTAAGAGGTGGGGGCTGAAAGAGATGTTAAAAGGTGGGGCCTGAGAGAGGAGGAGTCAGTCTAGTCTAGCCAGTCAGTCAGAGTCTGTGTTAGGAATCAGAGAGAGAAGGATAGTTTGGGGTCTGAGGAGTGATTAGTCTGAGTGTAAATTGTGATAATTACTATAGAAGGTTAATACTGAAGCTTGATGAAACTTGAAGAATGTGCTTATGAATTGTTCCAGAAACCAACTGCAATCAATAAACATGTTTTATTTTAAAAGTCAGTACTGAATGGACCTTCATTTTTTAAAGTAAAGTAAGTTGATAAGGAGATCAACTGGTGGCAGCGTGTCAAGAGGTGTTTTGGTTTCTCTTTGTGAGCTCTGCGTTTAGTGAGACAAACAGGGGCCATGAGGGTAAATGCTACAGCGGGCAATCGGGTTCAGATGCTGTTTCCATCAGTAGCAGCTAGCAAGGGGCTGAGATGCATTAAGCCACCCCGGTGCTGCTGGAGTTAGTGGTTTCAGGTGAGTCTGCACCCACAAGACACATTCAACATAGAGATGGTACGTGGCCTTGGGGTGAAGTCAATCCGCTGTTTTGTTTCTTCTAATCCAGCTAGTTTAATGCCCAATAATTACAGCATTAGCCATTCAGTTGAAGTTGGGCTCATACCAGCTTCGAAGCCTTGGACGGCACCATACCCACAGTGGTCCTCTTCAAGTCAGATGCTGTGATTCATGGAAGGTTTACAACAGCTGTTTTGGCAGAATGGTTGTGTGAATATCTGGTTAGGGAGACAGCCCATTATTTGTTAGATGGGTTAATTTTGGTTTTACCATTCCCGTTCAAGGCATTAGGCAGGCCACTTCAGCCAGCAGCCTTGAATCTGTTAGGGGCATGGAAGAGGTGTTGAGGCAAAAAACTGAGAAAGAAGTGGCAGAAGGCAGGGTGGCCAGACCTTTCTGAGAATCTCCCATGCCTAATTTGTGGGTTTTCCCCCGGGGGTAGTCCCTAAGATGACACCAGGTGAATACTGCCTTATTCATCACGGATCATACCCAGAAGGGAATTCTGTAAATGATAAAATTCCACCAGAGTTCTGCATGGTCTGTTATACGTCTTTTGACGCTGCCATATGAATGGTCAAATCTTGTGGACACGGAGCCGAAATGGGAAACGTGGATATTAAATCTGCTTTCTGTCTGCTTCCTGTTCATCCCAATGATTTTGAGTTGCTGGGTTTTCATTTTGAGGGTTTCTTTTATATGGTTAGGGCAATGCTGATGGGCTGCTCAATTTCTTGTGCTGCTTTGAACATTTTAGCTCAAGCACATTTTATGCCAAAGCACATGGTTGTCCTTACCCTGCCAGTGATTTCAGAGTTAGAAAAATGATTGAGGGTTGGAGTAAGGAAAGGGATAGACAGGAGGACAAGCGTACCCCAATGTCACCCAAAATGTTGTTGCAGCTGAGTAAAGTTTGGGATAAAGTGTGTACAAATCAGTATGAGGTCAAATTTTGTAGGGTGGTCACTCTGAGTGCTTTCTTTGGAGATTTTCGGATTAGTGAATTGGTAAGGGCATCCAAGGAGGAAAATTCAAAGATGGCATTACAAATGGATGACTTATTGGTCTCTGAAGACAAAGTCTTGTTCCATCTACGCCAATCCAAGACTGATCAGCATGGAAAGGGGCACATGATCAGTTTAGGAATTTGTTTTGTCAAAGATCTTTGTCCAGTTAGGGTCATTTCTGAATTTATACAGATAAGGGATGACTCAGGTGGTGATCTTTTTTGCCGTAATGATGTCTCACTGCTTACAAGATATCAATTCTGGATTATTACTTCTCAGGGTCTTTAGGAAGCAGGTATTGTAGGTTGGAAATTTGGCACTCATTTCTTTAAAATAGGAGCAGTGTCCACAGCAGCTGCAATGGGTTATGGTGAGGAACCAATAAAGAAGGTTGGAAGGTGGTCTTCACAAAGATTTAAGTCCCCTGTTTGTTTTTCCACTCACACAGGTTCAATTTCGGACACGACTTGTTGTTTTCACCCTTTTATGCTGCCACCAGAGGATATTACCCTCACTGTACCAGTTATGAATCTCAAACTATTGCTGTCAAATATAACAAGGTTTATTTATGGTTTGGTAGGTAAATCGCATAAGTAAAAGCTTAGATGTTCTTTTATTATTCATTCAATAAACGTGGATTTGATTACATACACACTTGCTTGTATTCATTCGCTTTAATCAAGGTCTCAATATTCTGACAGTCTATGTATTTCTTATTACTTTTAACTCTTTTATATTCTCTAACCCACCAACTTTCCAATCTCTTGTCTAAACGGATCACAATCTTCTCCCTAACTGACTCTCTGTCTCCTTCAGTTCTCTTGACTCCATCTCTCCTGTCCTGTCATAGGCTCCTGCACTGGACCTCTAAAAAGACTGACAGGATTGATGTGTGGGCTGTCCACCACAAGAATTATGTGGTCTAATTTAATCCCCCAAACTGTAATGGAGAGCAGAATGTGATCCTAGGTGTATCAACCGTGCAAGGCATGGCATTAACCAGGAAGTTGGCTGAGCCATGAAGGCTGGTCTGGGATTTATAATTTGGCATCCAGACATAAAAGGAAACCACCGTGAGTTGTATACAGGTGATGGAGTTCACTTATCAGACCTGGCTATGGGTCGTTTTCTCAGGGACCTACAAGGGAGCCTTCTTATACCCTTATCCATACACACCTACACATTTTTAAAACAACAACAGCCGCCGAAATGTCATCAGCATCGGCACCAGACGAATCTCACTCGGGAGGGCATTCCATAGTCTGGGGGCAGCTGCCGAAAAGGCCCTTTCTCTACAAGCCATCCCTCTTACCTCCTTGAGGGACGGCTCTTTCAAAAGGGCCCCCTGGCTAGATCTTAATTGCTGGGTAGGTTCATATGGAAGGAGGCAGTCCTTCAGGTATCCAGGTCCCAAGCCGTTTAGGGCTTTATATGTCAAAACAAGCACTTGAGTTGATAAAGAGAAGAAATCAGCAGCCATATATAATTTTGCATTTCTCTAATTGGGGCAGAAATTACTGATGCTATTTTAACCTTTCCAACCTCTCCATTGGCCAAGATTCCTTTCATAATCTAATCCATGGCACATGACCTCCATATGTTCAGGGGACATTCCCTCATTATGGCTTTCAAACCATATTCCTATCGTATCAATTATTTCTGTAAAGGATCCATAGAGATGAAGCCATCAGTTCTATTCTCTGGTGTCCAACTTTCATTCTGAAATCTTCTAAACACCTTTTAATTTTGTCTAAAAAAAGGTTAAACTCCATTTATCGAATAACTTCCTCAGTTGACATGCCTAGATCAGAACACACCCAGAAGAAAGATTCTTACCTCCTCTCTTGTTTAGCTTTGCAAATCCTGGTGCATAGCTATTTGATGTAGATGGCATTGATGACGAACTGCTGAAGAAGGAGGGGGGAAGACTTGAGACCAGTGGTTCATCACATTTGTCTGAAAGATAAAGAAGAATGATCATTTTTTAAAGATAAATGTGTACATCTACTGTTCAATCATTTTTGAAAACAGAGTTACACTTTCAGAAGAGCTGCCTTCAAAAAATCATCCCCAGAATGCATTTATGATGAAAATATCCTAATGAATAGGATTCACATCACACTGAAGGTTATCACAAAATGTCTCTTGAGTCCACAAATCCCTGTTCTTTATATTTTGCCATACAGGCCTTTCTGCCAGGATAGATATTCTGTAACTCTTTTCATCAAGTCTAGGGAAGCAAAAGTCTGCTTTAAACAGGAAATGCTGAAGCCATCACAGTGGTGTTGTGGTAGAGAGTAGACATGGGGACAAATTTAAAAAAAAAGAATCATGATATTCATTAAAAATCACTGATTCATTAAATATTCATCCCTTCGTATTTGTGAGTTCCAGACACCCCGAGAAATACAAAGGGATGTATATTTATCCATTTTTATTTTTTCCCCCATATGAAGAGAGGGAAGGCTAGCTTTCCCTCTTTTCTTATGGCCTTCCCATTCTGCCTATGGGCCTGCTGATCATCTGATCTATGGGCTGATAGGCAGCAAGCCAGCCCTACAACTACCCACCCCCACAGTCTATCCCCTGCCCTCTTCCCCTCCCTATCTTAGCTGCTGCCACCATCCACCACCACCTAGCGCCGCCACCATCCACCACTGCACACTGCAGTGGCCCCCACAGCCGTGGCCTGCTGTAAGGGACACTGGCTCCCCTTTGTAAAGATGACGGCTGTGACTTCTTTTAGGGCAGGGAAGCTGCAGCTGTCACCTTTACAAAAAAAAAGCCTCAATTCCTTTAAGGAGGCCATAGCGGCAGAGGCCATTGCAGTGAGCAGTGGTGGATGGTGACTGCAAAGGATGTCAGGTGTGTCCATGTTTGGTCTGGATCAGGTGAAGAACCAAAGAGAGAGTTAGGACACAAAGATGGAGACCAACAGAACCAGAGGAACTATGGGACTTTGTATTTCTAACTAGAAGCCCTCATTGTGAGAGATTCAACTTTTGAACTGTTAATGTTTGGAACTAAGTTAACAAAAACCATCTGCTGCTGGGGGTAGAGTCAAGGGGATAAAGAAGACCCTGGTACAAGGATCCTCCTGAGCAAAGCAGATTCCACACCTGTCCACCAAGTGATGGAAGACATATTAAGCATTCCATACTTCACAGTAAGTGATAAGGACCATGTATCTAGGGGGAAACAAAGGAATCTCTACTGTGCATGCCCTGTGAGCAACCTGAGACAAAGAAATGTCTTCGACGCATGCTCTATTTAAAAAACTGCCTAAATAGAATATAAGAAGAGGGGTCTGGGAAAACATTAGTCTGTCTGTCTGCTGAGACCAAAAGGCTTTTGGAACTAACTACTTTCTTTGGAACTTGGGCAATGCAGAATTCTTCTCTCTTTAGTGAGTATGTATGTGGTGTGAATGTGCTGAATGCATGAAACCCCTTTATTTAGAATTGTAATCAATAAATAAAGTATCTTTATTTTTGCATTTATTAATGTGTCTTGTGAGGTTCTTTGCTGTTTAATATTGTTCTTCCTGGGATACAAAACAACCAGTAGTCACCCTTTTGTGACAAGGACACTGTGGTGGAAGCCACTGTGGATGGTGGTGGTTGTGGGAGCAGCAGCAGTGATGGCAGCGCAGATGGTGGCAGCCAAGGTAGGGAGGCAACAGAGGTAGTCAGTTTTTTTGCTTTGTTTTTTTAGACAGCCTCTCGCTGTCTAAGAAAAACCCAGATGAATTGGTGAATCGATTTGTGGTTCATCGGTTCATGGGGAGGAGATTTGTGCTTCGTGGTTCGTCATCTTTGACACATGAAGCAGGACAAATCGCCATTTTGGTGGTTCATTCCCATCTCTAATAGAGAACCATCGATAGCTTTGTGATGCAAGTGGACTTCATACAAATCCCTATCCTTATCCAAGATGATTTGCATGTTCAACATCCAGCACACACCACAGAAAAGCACAAAAATCAATATACTTAGTACATCTGGAAAAGATAGCTGAAAAATATGTGCAATCACCAACAGAAGAGCAAAACATCCAGTCACTTACTTGTCATGTATCAATGAACCACTACTTATGGCCACATTTCTATGTAACATCCCAACTTTTGGGTGGATATTTCTATATATCTTTTTTTCAAAAAGCAAAGCATATAATACAATGAGCCCTGTTTCCTTTCACCCTCCTTGTATGTCAGTAGTCACAGCATGCAGACATTGTATGTGGTTATCGGAACGATAAAAAAACCCAGTGTATTCTATACTGTGTTAAATCCACAATGTAGGGAAAACACTTGTTTGTACTTGGCCATCACTGCAGATGTAGCTAGAAGTTAAATTTCAGAATCATAATCTGCCTTTGCAGTAGTCTCCATAATCCTTTTAAGCACTTTACTTCAATTGAACTCAGTATAGCGATGATAAACTCTCTGTTATTGTCTATAGTGGAAACAAGCAGAAAGTTCAAAGAATCTATGCTTTGGTAGATGAAGGGAATATCAAGAATTAAGAATGTATCTTAAGTAAGGAAAACTTAAAGGCAAATCAAATATTTTTTCTTCTATGTCTCAACTGCTTACCATTAACTTGTAATCTTACAGGATAGAATTTTCTTCCTTTTTCCCTGCATTTATTACTCTTTTTCCCTTAAGGCACTTCTTATCAACAAAGAAAGGCTTAACTACTCCAATAAATGTTATTTAATCTTTTTTTTTTTTTACAAAATGTATTCATAGCAATGTAGGCTATGCTGTAGATGGAAATGATCTTCAATTCTTGCAAGCTCAGAAATCTAACTTAAGCCCTGATGGGAACTGATCCATCAGCAAAAGACATAAATTTCTGACTCAATTAAAAGACCATAAGTTCAGAAACAATTAAAGCTAGTGTTTAATGCTGTGATCCATGAAAATGGGTTACCTCTCTATTCTTAGTGAGGAAATTGCCTTTTCTTAATGTGAAAATTATTAGACTCTTAAGCAATGTCACAGAGTTTTAAAAACTGTTTTTAACTGCATTTTTTAAAAAAGGGGAAAACATAAAATATTATTCAAAAAGATATATGGAAATATACTAAAGTGAAAAGGAAATATTTATGCTTAAACTTCAAGAGAAGATGACCAAATTTCTAAATCTAAATCTGTGCAAAACTGATATCTGTATTTTGCACATTCAGATTGATATTTGTTATGGCTGCAATCTGACTACCTATTTGATATTTCCTTGTATCTAATCCAACTGCAAACAACAAAGATGGGCTTATGTAGTTTATGGCTCTCCAGGACATATTATAGCTTTACAACATTTTGCTGATCCTACATTTGAACATGGACCCTGTTGACTCTCTGAAAATTTTATTGACCATTGTGAACAGAGCCAGAGAAGCAGGGCATAGACTGTATTGACAGCTCCAAAGAATAACATGGCAAAGATGGCTCTTCTGCTTTACGAAGTATTCAGAGATCTCCTGGTTCATTTTTTGTTGCTGGAACATGCCCAAAACACTGATGAATCTCTGTAGAACACTTTCATGTGAAGAAGACCTATCCCAGTCTACTTTTAAAAGGCTTATTCTGGTGATCTGTTTCTAGAACCATTAAAATGTTTAATAAAAGGACAACAATCAATCCTGATATAAGATTTAAAAAACAACAACAATGTGTTTAATAATTTCTAAGATTCTTTCAAATTTTTGGATCATCATTCTGAAGAATTTTGTTTCATAAGGGGAAAAATGCCTCACCCATTAAAGGCCAAAGATGCTGAATGGATCATCTATTAACAAAAGGTGGAATCATGCCTCTTAAATCAATTGGTAGAGATTGCTGAGCAAAATGGAAAGCAATCAGGTCTTTTGCAAAAGGCTGCTGAAACTCATAACTGGATGGAAAAAAACCTATCCTTTAAACCAAATTGTGATATTTCTTCCTTCTTTTATTGCTTGAATGTTTTGTTCTACAAAGTAGAACAACAAGCCAAAGAAGAAATGACCATACTAAAATGAAACGATTTGATAATGTAAAATGCAAACAGTCATCCTGAGCAACATGAGTGCTAGAACTCATCTGCAAACAAGTCAGTAAACCATGTCCTGAAGTATGCTAGATGAATAATTCTGGAACAGATCATAAAGCAGTCATTGTGCAAGCACCTAGAAAACAATACAGTAATAACTCAAAGCCAATACAGATTTGTCAAGAACAAATCTTGCCAAATTAATTTGATCTTGTTTCTTTTAGTAGGTCACCTCCCTGACAGACAGAGGGAATGCTGTAGATGTAGTATATCTTGACTTCAGCAAAGCTTCTGACAAAGTGTCCCATGATATCCTGATTAGAAAGCTAACTAGGTATGGGCTGGATAGATCAAGTGTCAGGTAGATACACAATTGGCTACAGAATTGTACTCAGAGGGTGATGATTAATGGGTCCTTCTCTAACTGGGAGGAGGTAACTATTGAGGTATCCCAAGGCTCTTCAATATTTTTATTAATGACTTGGATGAGGGAGTGTAGGGAATGCTTGTCAAATTTGCAGATAATACCAAATTGGGCGGAATAGCTAATACCCTAGAAGACAGAAAGAAAATTCAAAATGACCTTGATAGGATGGAGCACTGGGATAAAAGCAACAGAATGAAATTCAACAGGGATAAGTGCAAAGTACTGCACCTCGGAAAAAGAAACCAATTGCACAGTTACAAGATGGAGGATATCTGGCTCAGCAAAACTACGAGCAAGAAGGATCTTGGACCTGTCGTAGATCACAAGCTAAATATGAGTCAACAGTGTGATGTGGCTTCAAAAAAGGCTAATGCTAATTTGAGCTGCATTAATAGAAGTACAGTTTCCAAATCCCATGAGGTGCTAGTCCCCCTCTATTCAGCACTGGTTAGGCCTCACCTTGAGTACTGTGTCCAGTTCTGGTCTCCACACTTATTAGA